TCCTTATAATGATGACCCGATTTGAGCTGTTCCACTTGGGCTCCATCGACTAACTTGACTCAGGACACAACTAAGTCTATTACCAAAGCCAAGTTTCAAAACATTGAGATGCAGTGCCAAGAATCTGGGCTCTCTTTAAAAAAAAAAACCGAGCACATGTTGGGCTCGTACAGGACTTTAGTTCGATCATACTCTGTTGAGAAGCTTGACTCGGGTCAAGGCCAAGTCCAGAACTTGGCAAACTCCACTCGGTCTTCACTAAGTAACTCGACTCCGACCATGGTCAAGTCCAACAGCCGAGCCGAGTTTTATAAAATATAAATAAGTATATGCAGTTTGTAGATACGGCCAGCATGATTCAATCTCTGGTTTAAGTGAGTAGGATTGGAGACTTGGATGCCTAACTTGCCTTTTTTTCTTTTCAACAATGCATATTTATTTTTTAGAAATGTGTCAAATGAGATTATTTACTTCTAATATAAAGAGGTCACAATCATCATTGACCGATAAATTTAAAATTGGGTGGAGAAGGTGCGTTATTTAAACACAAAGTCTAAAATAAATTTCTCTAATGTTGTGATACTTTTATGGATTGAATTTCACATCCAATAGCTAAAAGTGATTTAGACTTCCTTTATTAAAAATAAATGGCATATGGTATGTAGTTCCTTATTTTTTTCTCATCTTCATACTCAATTGGAAAGATGCATGGTTGAGATAAATAAACAAAAAACATACCAATACCCATTGCGTGTATCCTACCGATGTCTTGATCATACAATATTTTTTTTTTTTGGACAAACCTATCCTTTATATGGTATTTACGTAGCTTAGATTTCTCCAAATATTTATCAAAGGATGCAGTTTTTGTTTTTATGAGGCTTGGACCTTAGGAAAAAAAAAATGTCTATAAATCTCATATGGAAAATGCTTTCGAACACGAAACAGTGGCTCTAAAATCTATTTTTCTGCTGGTTATGAAATTTATAGCTAAAAAAATGGTACATATCTTTACGGATCGATGAATATTTAAAAATGTATGATCTAGATAATGTGTTACGACATATATTATATTTAAGACTTAAATTTCTTTTTATTTTCACATCCATAACGTTTAAGATTGAAATTATCAATTTGATGGTATACTGATACCGACTTCACATTTTTCAAGAAGAACCTCGCTTTTATTAAAAGTATATGTATTTTATATAAAGTGGTGAAAAAAAGTGAGGAATATCTTTAGGAGGAAAAAGTTGAGGTTGCAATATCTTGAACCGAGTGACAACCAAATTTTTAGAACGCAAGATCTAATCATTTGAGCGGGAAGAATTCAAAATATAATATTTTTGGAATATTATATTTTTCAAAAATATTATATTTTGGGTCTAGTTTTGGATGTTGAACATCCGAAAAACCTTCCAATTTGTTTGTTCAACATCTGAAAACGGTAAAGTCGTATTTTTTAAAAAAATTACGTCATAAAAGATAAAAAATGATAATGCATGTAATAACGGAAATTATTTGATACATCCATAATAACACACAGTATAACGGATATTTATATAATTTTCTTAAATTTTTTTTTTTTATACAAAATCCAAGTAGTTATATTACCCAAGGGAGTCAAAATATCCATGCATGCTATATTTTCTTATAGGTTTTTTTAGTGATTTTAAAAAGGCTCGACCCGACAAGGAACTGCCTGTCCAATCGGAGAATCGGTCACTCCGTTCTGATTCTGCGTATATATAGAAAAAACGGTCTAATCCAAAAGGAAATCGACGGTTTCGGTGCATATATATAGGAAAACGGCCTAATCTAGAAGAAAATCGACGGTTTCAGCAATTCTCTACAGCAAAACGGTGATCCAGACCGCCAGGTCACCGATCTGGACCGGTTTTTGGCCATTCCTTGTTTTTTCACATGTGTTTTTGCCGGTTTATTAATTTTTCCAAACAAAATCCGGATTGCCGATTCACTGATTCAGACCGATTTTTTGGTTGCCAGATCCAAATCACCGATTTGTTTTTTAAATCACTCCGTTTTTTGAATAATAGATCATTTTTTTTTTTAGTGAGTTAGTGGGGAGAGGGCCCTGCAAATCGTCAAGCCAGGCTTTTTTCCTAAATCATTTGGTTTTTTGAATAATAGAGAATACCGATAATAAAAAAAGAGGGAAGGATGACCACGTTGCTAGATCAACGGATCCGCGTTGCTACATCAGCAAAAGGTGCGGACGGTTCCCCATCTCCTCGTAGCGTAGAGGAAGCTCCACTACCAGAGAGACAAATCCAAAATTTTTAAACAAGGAATTGTTAGTTAGCATTCAATTTCAACGTTCAAAGACTCATATGCATTTATTGGCATTTGAAATGGTCAACTACTCCAAACTGCACCAAGTGCAAATTGCTCAATCCCGTTGTTTCAAAATTTAGCAGCTCGACTTGGAACTACCTGATTTGAACCGGCACCGGTAGGTAGCCGGATCGATTTTAGCCTTAACTCCGGACTCGTGCAAATCTTCCTACAACTCATATTAGAAGATGCTTTTTTTGTTATACAACCAGTGTTTTCATATTCGTTTCGGAGTCTTTTTTGATTTGGTGAAAAAAGTGAAGCAATTCGGTGCTTTGACCGGAGGAAGACTTTAGATTTTTTTAAAAATATAATATATACATATTAAAATAACAAAAAAATTATAAATAAAAATCAAAAAAATAATTAAAAAATACATTTATGTGCTTCGGAGGAAGATTCTTAATCATACTAAAAGCATACCGTAACACAATCGTATTTAAAAAATACATTTATGTGCTTCAACCGAAGAGGCGGAGTTTGGTCGTAGAGGCCCAATCAGACTGAAACAGGGCCGAAACTGATGCATCAGAGCTTCGCTTTTCTTCTGTTTAGGCCGAAAATCTGAAGACTTCGGCCACTTTGGCCAAAGCGAAGTGAAATTCATAACATTGTATAGAACTATTGTTTTACGAATGATTTAGGGTTCCTAAGTTTTATTGAAATTTTTTAAAGTTTACATATTTTGTTTGTAATTCTTTTAAAGTTGGTCGAGTCACCGACTCGGCCAATTCGACTCAAAATTGGTGGGCGACCGGTTTGATTCACAAATCTAGCTTTCCAAACACTGCTCAATAGAATCATCTCTCAATACACACACTACATTTTATTAAGGGTAGTTTGCATAAGGTTGCAACTTTAAACAATCAAAGTAGGGTGCATCACCAAAATTAATTATAAGAACAAAATTTTTAAGGATAGTAAGAGAATCCATTTTTATCTGTAATTATAAAATGTTGGAGTAAAAAAATGGATCAAAGCTTCAAATCAAATCGATCTATAAAGGTATAAAAATCTTGAAAATTGATTGTCCAGATAATGTGTTGCAAGATGCACACTTTTTTAAACATATTCATACATCTCGATGTCTAGATGATAAATTAGAGCATTTTTCAACTTTGAAACAACATTTTACAAATGGATGTTTTAGGTTTACCTTAAATCTTCATTTTAAGGTTACAACCTTATATAAATTTTATATTTTATTAAATATATTGTACTCAAAGCACTTAAGAAAGAAAGAAAGAAATAAATATATAGAGAAAGGAAAGACATATTGGACTTCCCCACACAACACCTTGTCTAATAATCAAACTTTAATGACTTTAATCCATTTTTGTTTTCAAATTTTATTCACTAGATATAAAAAAGTGTCACATATTCCTCATAAAAAGTCGATTAAAGGTAAATGCGAAGTTCACAAGAAAATAAATGGAGTTTTCCCCCCCAAAAAAGGACTCATGGCGTGTTAGAGATATTCCGTATTCCGTAATGTGAAAGAATCATATTGGAAAAAGACTTAAACCCCTAGAGAGGCCATACAAAGCCAAAAGACTTTACAGCCTCCGGGAGCATAATTTACTTACTCCCTCAATGAGAAGACTTATTTGGGAGATTTTTTCACTTTAAAATTTTGGAAACGGCCTAAGAAATATTAGATAATTATTTAAAGAACACGATTTCTACGGGTCCATGCAGAAATCAGTCACTTTTTAAAAATCTATTTTTGAGATGGATTTTTGGAATTTTTTTTAAGGACATGTAATTTCTACTAATATGGAGATCATAAATACGAAAAATAAATAAAATTTGAAAATTAAAGATAGTATTTCTATTAAAAAATATTTGAAATATTGGTTTCAATTGTTTTTAGATAGATCGTGTATTTGTGATGGATGCTTTATACTTTTGGTAGAAATGTGATCCAACAATTTTTTTATTTTAAAAAACTTAAATATTTGAGTTTTCTAGAAAGTACGAATAAGTTGCAATTAGAAATATATATATTTTTTTTAATTCAATGTATGGGTTGAAGAGGTTAATTTTCAAAACCTTGGAGTTCTATAACTAATTCTAGATGAGGTTATACGTGAGCGAGTTAGATGGAGATTATAGTCCAGCAGGAGGATAGTCTTTTTGGAACGCCTGTCTCTATCCTCATTTCAAGAAGGCCGCGTGGATAAAACGGAACGAGAGGGACAAACCGCTCCTGACTAAGTTAGAGAGAGAAAGAGAGGGGAGTGAGGAAGAGAGAGAAAGGAGAGAGCAAAGGTTAGAGAGAGCAAAGGTGAGAGAGAGAGGAAGAGAGAGAAAGGAGAGAGCAAAGGTTAGAGAGAGAGAGAGAGAGAGGGGCAATAATGGGGATTTGGAATTGAGAAAAGGGGAACCGGAAAAGGAGGAGGGAAGGAACGGAATCAGAATCAGAATCGTCCACCTCTCTCTATCCAAATTTGAACGAATCCGTAAACTATCATAGAGAGAGCAAATAAAGGGACAAACTCAGGGTTTCGATGGCTTCCAAAGTAACGATGACTGATTCTCTCTCTCTAACCCTCAAATCGCTTCGTCTACTTCACACCCCAATCTGATCTGGTTCCCCACTCTTGCACCACCCCCACCCCCACCCCCACCCCCACCCCCACCCCATGAGCCTTCGGCAACGGCACGCGCCCTCCGCCCCTCCTGCCCCCCGCGGTGGCGCCAGCGCCGAGGCCACCGACGATGAGGCCTACAACATCCTCCCTGTCCACAACTTGCTGGCCGACCACCCCGCCCTCCGCTTCCCCGAGGTGCGTGGCGCGGCCGCCGCCCTCCGCACTGTAGGCGAGCTCCGCCCCCCGCCCTACACCCGATGGCGCTCCGACCTCGACCTCATCGACTGGCTTGCGGCCTTCTTTGGTTTCCAGGCCGACAATGTTCGGAACCAGCGAGAGCACCTCATTCTTCTCCTTGCAAACTCTCAGATGCGCATTCAACCCCCTCCTGATGATATTGATCGCCTCCATGCCAGTGTTCCCAACAAGTTGAGACGCAAGCTCTTGAAGAACTACTCATCGTGGTGCTCGTTCATGGGGAGGAAATCGAACGTGTGGATCTCAGATCGGCCGCTGAGGCTCGGCCCTAGAAACCCTAGACCTGATGATGTGCGTCGGGACCTGTTGTATGCGGCCCTGTATCTTCTCATTTGGGGAGAGGCGGCAAACCTCAGGTTCATGCCGGAGTGCTTGTCCTACTTATTTCATCAGATGGCCATGGAGCTTAACAGGATCCTTGAGGATTACATAGATGAGAACACGGGGAGGCCGGCCAACCCTGCTTACATGGGCGAGAATGCATTTCTCAACCATGTGGTTGGGCCTTTGTACCAGACGGTGAAGGCGGAGGCCTATGCCAGTCGAAACGGCAAGGCTCCACACTCAGCTTGGCGAAACTATGATGACCTCAATGAGTTTTTTTGGGACCGGTCGTGTTTCGAGTGCCTTGGCTGGCCCCTCAAACGCGATAGCGCATTCATGCTCCTCCCCGATGCATCATCGGCCCCTCGTGTTGCTGTCGCTGCCCCTCTAACTGAAGAGGCTCCACGTGTTCGGCGCAGCAAGGTCGGTAAGACCGGCTTTGTTGAACAGAGGTCATTTTGGAACCTTTTCCGCAGCTTCGACAGGATCTGGGTGATGCACATTTTGTTTTTCCAAGCCGCCCTCATCGTGGCATTGGAAGGGTCAACATTTCCATGGCAGGGATTGAGGAGACGGGATGTGCAGGCACGCGTGCTCAGTGTGTTTATAACCTGGGCTGGGCTCCGGTTACTCCAATCGGTGCTTGATGCTGGCACTCAGTACAGCCTTGTGCGTGGTTCTCTGTTGCTCGGTGTGCGTATGGTCCTCAAGAGTTTAGCTGCTGCCGCTTGGACCGTGGCATTCATCGTGTTATATGTGCGAGCATGGAACCAACACAACACTGATCGCGGGTGGTCAGCGACGGCCAACCGGATGCTGGTCAATTATTTGGTGGCAGCCCTTGCGTTCTTAGCCCCTGAAATTCTTGCCCTGGTTCTCTTCATAGTCCCATGGGTGAGGAACTTTATGGAGAAGACTAATTGGAAGATCTTCTATTTGCTTACATGGTGGTTTCAGAGCAGGATCTTTGTGGGTCGGGGGCTTCGAGAAGGGGTGGTTGATAACATTTCGTATGCTCTGTTTTGGGTTTGTGTCTTGGCTTCGAAATTCTCCTTCAGCTACTTCCTTCAGATCAAGCCCATGGTTAACCCCACTAAAGCAATCCTGAAACTCAATCGAATCAATTATACATGGTATGAATTCTTCAACAGCGGGAAGGTTTTTGCAGTTGGGTGCCTATGGGCCCCTGTGGTTCTGATCTATCTCATGGATATACAGATCTGGTACTCAATTTTCTCATCTTTTGTGGGTGCTTTGGTTGGGTTGTTTTCACATTTGGGCGAGATTCGAAACATCCAGCAGCTGAGGCTGAGGTTCCAATTCTTTGCAAGTGCAGTTCAGTTCAATCTTGTGCCTGAGGAGCCCCTCTTCAACACTCCTGGCACTTTGAGGGTAAAATTCAATGACGCAATCAGGAGGTTAAAGCTTCGATATGGTCTCGGTCGCCCCTACAAGAAGCTTGAGTTTAACCAGATGGAGGCGAACAGGTTTGCGATCATATGGAATGAGATCATTGAGAAATTTAGAGAGGAGGACATCGTTTCAGACAGAGAGGTCGAGCTTTTGGAGGTGCCATCTCTTTCATGGAATGCTAGGGTCACTGGATGGCCATGTCTTCTCCTTTGCAATGAGCTTCTTCTCGCTTTGAGCCAGGCAAAGGAGCTACAGGCCGGTGACCGCACCCTATGGCGCAAAATTGGCAAAAATGAGTACAGGCGATGTGCGGTGGTTGAGGCCTATGACTCTTCAAAATACATGCTCTTGAGGATAGTGAAGGAGGGAACTGATGAACATTCTATTGTTGAGAACCTGTTCCGAGAGGTTGACGCGTCTATCCAGGTCGAGAAGCTCACTGAGAGCTATCACATGGCTGAGCTCCCCGAGATCCATTCTAAGCTCATACAACTGCTCGTCCTCATAAATGGTAAGAAACCTGACGTCCAAAAGGCGGTCACCATACTTCAGAGCCTTTATGATATAGCAATCAGGGACTTCCCTAGGAAAAAGAGGAGCATTGAGCAATTACGTCAAGATGGCTTGGTACCATCAAGGCCGAGCATTGGTGGTTTATTATTCGAGAATGCGATTGAACTTCCTGACTCAGATTCACATCCGGACTTTTACCGAAGGGCTAGGAGGCTGCAAACCATACTCACCTCTCGAGACTCTATGAACAATATCCCCCGAAACCTTGAGGCTCGACGTCGAATAGCATTCTTCAGCAATTCCCTGTTCATGAACATGCCTCGTGCCCCCCAAGTCGAGAGGATGCTCGCCTTCAGTGTGCTCACCCCTTACTATGATGAGGATGTCATATATAATAAGGAACAGTTGCATATAGAGAATGAAGATGGCATCTCGATATTATTCTACCTTCAAAGGATCTTCCCTGATGAGTGGCTTAACTTCCTCGAGCGCATGCGAAGGGAAGGCATGAAAGACCAAGGTGAGCTATGGGGTGAAAGGGTTCGGGACTTGCGCCTTTGGGCCTCTTATAGGGGCCAGACACTTGCTCGTACAGTTCGTGGGATGATGTATTATTACAAGGCTCTTGAGATGCTTACTTTTCTTGATTCAGCTTCTGAAATGTCTCTTAGAGATGGGTTAAGGGACTTGGTTTCAGCGGCTTCAAGCATGCCACGTGAAGAGGAGGAGAGCTCCTCTGCGGTGCCGTTGCGTCGTCTTAGCAGGGAGAGCAGTAGTGTGAGCTCACTGTTCAAGGGCCACGAGTATGGGACTGCACTCATGAAGTTCACATATGTTGTTGCGTGCCAGATATATGGAGCTCAGAAGGCAAGGAAGGAGGCTCGTGCTGAAGATATACTGTATCTAATGAAGAACCATGAGGCCTTGCGTGTGGCCTATGTCGATGAGGTGCTTGCGGGGAGGGATGAGGTCGAATACTATTCAGTGCTTGTAAAGTATGATAGGCAGTTGCAGAGGGAGGTTGAAATTTATAGGGTACGACTCCCTGGGCCTGTGAAGATCGGGGAGGGCAAGCCTGAGAACCAGAACCACGCTCTCATCTTCACAAGAGGAGATGCAGTCCAGACCATTGATATGAACCAGGACAATTACTTTGAGGAGGCACTCAAGATGCGAAACCTGTTGCAGGAGTATACAAAGAACTATGGGATCAGGAAGCCAACTATATTGGGGGTGCGTGAGCATGTTTTTACGGGCTCAGTGTCCTCGCTTGCTTGGTTCATGTCAGCACAAGAGACGAGCTTTGTCACTTTAGGTCAGCGGGTGCTTGCAAATCCATTGAAAGTGAGAATGCACTATGGGCACCCCGATGTGTTTGATCGGCTCTGGTTCTTGAGCCGTGGGGGCATCAGCAAGGCCTCAAAGGTCATCAACATCAGTGAAGATATCTTTGCAGGGTTCAATTGCACACTTAGGGGCGGCAATGTGACTCACCATGAATATATTCAAGTGGGTAAGGGCCGAGATGTTGGGTTAAACCAGATATCCATGTTTGAGGCCAAGGTGGCCAGTGGCAATGGCGAGCAGGTTTTAAGCCGAGATATTTACAGACTAGGCCATCGTCTCGACTTCTTTCGTATGCTCTCTTTCTACTACACGACTGTTGGATTCTTCTTCAATACAATGATGGTGGTCCTCACTGTCTATGCCTTCCTTTGGGGACGCCTCTACATGGCCCTTAGTGGTATAGAGGCGGCCATCATGGTTGATGCTGATTCCACAAATAACACAGCCCTTGGCACTGTGTTAAACCAGCAGTTCATAATACAGCTTGGTCTCTTCACTGCGCTCCCCATGATCATTGAGAACTCGCTCGAGCATGGTTTCTTACAAGCTATTTGGGATTTTATTACAATGCAGTTGCAGCTTGCCTCAGTCTTCTACACATTCTCGATGGGCACCCGAACTCACTTTTTTGGGCGCACTATCCTACATGGGGGTGCCAAGTATAGGGCCACTGGTCGGGGCTTTGTTGTTCAGCACAAAAACTTTGCGGAGAACTACCGGCTTTATGCTCGCAGCCACTTTGTGAAGGGCATTGAGCTTGGGGTCGTACTCACAGTCTATGCCTCGTATAGTGTGGTGGCCGCGAATACCCTTGTGTACATTATCATGACCCTCACAACTTGGTTCCTCGTGGTTTCATTTATCATGTCCCCCTTCTTATTCAACCCCTCTGGGTTCGACTGGTTAAAAACTGTGTACGACTTTGATGACTTTATGAACTGGATTTGGTACACTGGTGGGGTTTTCACAAAGGCTGAGCAGAGCTGGGAAACTTGGTGGTATGAGGAGCAGGACCATCTGAAGACCACAGGCATATGGGGCAAGGTCTTAGAGATAATATTGGACTTGCGATTCTTCTTCTTCCAATACGGGATTGTTTACCATTTGGGCATAGCAGGGGGAAGCAAGAGCATCTTTGTGTACCTCGTTTCTTGGATATATGTGGTGGTGGCAGTCGCTTACTATGTTGTGATGTCTTATGCTCGGGATAAGTATGCGGCCAAGGAGCACATATACTATCGCTTGGTTCAGGCCCTGGCGATTTGCCTCTTTGTTTTGGTCATCATCGTCTTGCTGAGGTTTACAAAATTCAAGTTCATTGACATGCTCACAAGTTGCTTGGCATTCATACCAACTGGGTGGGGCCTCATATTGATTGCTCAGGTTCTAAGGCCATTTTTGCAGCCAACTCCTGTTTGGGGCACGGTGGTGGCAGTTGCTCGCTTATACGATATACTGTTTGGTGTGATTGTGATGGCACCCATGGCTCTGTTTTCGTGGTTGCCAGGGTTCCAGGCAATGCAGACGAGGATACTGTTCAATGAGGCATTCAGCAGGGGCCTCCAGATATCACGTATCCTTGCGGGAAAGAAATCAAGGGTAAACTCCTGAGTTGAGGTAAATTTGGGTTTGGTCTGTTTGTAGTGGAAGGATCTGATTCACTTTTGAGTTATTGATGTGCTGATGGGATATTTTTGTTGTTAGCCTTACATGCTACCTTCTTCTTGGCTATGTACTCTGATCCATGTTAAGAGAAAATTGTTCTGTATATTGTCAGTGGGTGTATTTTATTGCTGGTTTTGTGTCTCTGTGGATGGTATTTCCAAATGTTTTTTGGCAGCTCTGAATATCTATTATTTAATTTTATGTAGTTTTGATCCCTGTTTCAGGTGGAATATTGGGATATCTGGACTCAAACTTTTATGTTTTACCAAAAGCATGGAGAATGTTAAGTGCCATATACACCTATTATATTGCCTCTAAATTTTCCTTTATTGGAATCATATAATGCATGCTTGAACATATGGATACGGGAATAAATGGTATGAAGAAACTTTACTTTTGATGGGAAATTTATCAAAATAACCGTAAGATATGAACCATTTAACATTTTACCAATGTCTTTTGATTGATTTCAAAAACCTATCACAAGGCACATGATCATGACATGGAATAGTCGCAAAAGGGTAAAATGTTCACTCTTATGGGCAGTTTGATAAATTTCCCTTGAGCTTACCTGAAAATAGTAAATGCATCAGTAATGGGAGCTCATAAATTTAGTATTGCTTCTTCACTATATTGTCTTGACCTTCCTGCACTAGGTTGTCTTGTAGCATTGTATAAGTTATTTTTTCTTTCTTTATTAAGTATGATGGGCTCAAGATCTGCTATAGTATGAATTCCTTTAGTCACTGGTGAAACCCTGTAGGAGTTACACCTAATAGTCACCAAAATTGCCCTCCCTAGCTAGCGATTCCGGTTTGAAATTGGGATTCGGCGTTTCGGAGAATGAATCGCCACAGATCCCTATCCTGGAAGTTAGGAATCACGATTCCACATTCTTTGAATCTCATTCGAAAATCTTTGGAATCTTGATTCCACTTTGCCAAATTTTCCGATTCATAGGTGCACAAGACCATGATTTAAATAAGTTACCAATTCAAAAAAAAAATCTCAAATAATGTTTAAAAAATTCCAAGCATTTCATAAAATTTTGCCAATTATTATACCACCTGACATTTAGATGTTGCCGATCTAGATTCCAAATTGAAAAATTTTATTATTTAGAAATTAGTAATAATTAATATATGATGGGTATCTAAAATCTCTATGGGTTTCGATAAACTCTATTTTACATTATTCCTAAATTTAGAGAATCTATAATAAGTGTCTTTTGTTTTTTGATACTGTTAACTGTTGTATTGCAAGAGAGAGAAAAGTACATATGTTAGGCAGAGGTGACCCACAAGCTAGGCTATATGCCCCCAAAAAAGAATTAGAGTACCATGAAAGGTACTCCTGTACAAAAAAGGTAGGCTATGTACAAAAAAGCCCAACCAAGGAAGACAGGAAACAACCAAGAACTGGTCACAACAGTTGACCCTTACAAAAGAGAGAGATGAACAAGGCCAAAATTCAGCAGCTCAAAGGTCCGAGGGATCAGCTCCCGCTTCATTTTTCGCTAGGTGGTCTGCCAATTCGTTGGATTCTCTCCAGATATGCTTCCAAGAGACGACGATATCCCTGCCAATGTGAGAAATCTCATCAAAGATTGAAGCCAAGTGCCTTGGGGGTGTTCCACATCATGCTGCCCAAGAAACAACATTTTTTGCATCTCCTTCCACAAGGAGAGGTTGTGGACAGGAGTGGTCGAAGAGTTTGAGACCAGTTAGCATTGCCAGGGCCTCTGCCAATTGGGAGTTTGCGTGGCCAATGTTTTCGGAGTAGCTAGCTAAAACAGTGCCTAGGTGGTCATAGAAGACTCCACCTACTCTTGCTGGGCCTGGGTTTCATAAAGAGCACCCATCAAAGTTAAGCTTGATGTGGTCCTCCGGGGGAGGGGACCAATGGCTCAATCTGTGCACCCTGAATGATTGGGTTAGTAAGATTTCCATCCACTGGTTTAAGGAGGAGGAGGTGGGGAATCCTTTAAAGGCCTTGTAATTGGATGCCCAGAAGGCGAGATCCGAGGTGATTTTGTGGAACAAGCTGTGAGCCTTGCACTTGATTCCTCTAAAAATTCTGGAGTTCCTTTCCGTCCAAATTCCCCAAATGGTGGCAGCGATTGTGGTTTTCTAGAGTAGTCTCCCAGCGGAAGGCCACGGGGCATCCCTTGACATATTGAAGAGGACCGGAATGGAGGGAGGGGTTATCCATGTTAGTCCAAAGAGTTGGAGTAATCGACTCCAAAGCTCGGAAGCAAACTTGCAATGAATGAAAAGTGGGAGTTTGATTCTTCATCGTTAGTGCACATCACACACTAGTTAGGAATCGGGACACCCCTCCGTTGTAATTGATCCACCGTCAGAGTCTTTTCAGAACAGGCTATCCAGCTGGAGGCCTGCACCTTTGGGGGCACAAAAGATGTCCAAACCTGGGTCACTACAGATCTCAGAGATAGGGGAAAGGTTAGTGGTTCAAGGATTTTCTTGTAAAAGGAGGCTACGGAAAAGGACCCTGAGGGTGACGGGGTCCAAAGAATGCGGTCGACCTTGTGTGAACCAAGAAGCCTGAGCTTAAGATGGATGACATAGAAAGAAATTCTGAAGTTTTGCAGTCATTTAGAGGTCTTCGAAAAGAGGGGTTCCAGACTCTGGTGTTTCCCGAGATGGGCATCTCTTCAGCGATAGAGGTGGAAGCATTTGTGGTAAGAGAAAAGAGAGAGGGGAAGAGGTCCTTAAAGGGAGTATGTCCTAGCCAAAGGTCAGACCAGAAACTGAATAGTGCGGCCTTCTCTTGGGTGGTAGTGGATGAAATTTTGGAAAAGGGAGAGAGAAGAGAGAAAGGATTTCCAGGCACCTGATGCCCTGCTAGAGGAACGACCCTTCGGCCTCCAAGAGCTAGCTGGGATCTTGTACTTACAGCGGATCACTTGTGTCCACAGAAGATCATTGTGGGTGGGTAAGCGCCACCACCATTTGCCTAGGAGAGCTGTGTTATGTTTTCTCAGACTCCGAATACCCATACCCCCTTGTACCTTTGGCTGACAGACTTTTTCCCAGTTGATGAGGTGATACTTCTTTGTTTCTTCGTCACCAGACCACAAAAAATTCCTCATGAGCTGTTCGAGGCGGCTTTCTACCGCTGCGGGCATGTGGAACAAAGACATAAGGTAGATGGGGGTATTGGCAAGAGTTGCCTTGACTAGGGTAGATCTCCCTGCAAAGGAGAGAAACCTTCCTTTCCAACCTGCAAGGCGTCTATCGACCTTGTCAATCACATGAGACCATTGCCTCCTCTTTCTTGCCTAGACCGAGTGGCATGCCCAGGTAAGTGGTGGGAAGGTCCTCGACTTTGCATTCCCAGTCCGGAATGAGTGATCTCGTTTCTGTCGAGAAATGTCCCACCCCTATCATGGTGGACTTGACCATATTCACCTTGAAGCCTGTTGCAAACTCAAAGCACTTGAGGAAGGTGCTTAGGGTTGTGACTTCCTGGTGCTTTGAATTGAGAAATACTAGAGTGTTATATGCGTATTAGAGGTGCGTTACTACAGGACCTCTAGTGTTGCTCTTGAAGCCTGTGAGCCGGCCAAAGTGGTACATGCAGGTGATGGATTGGCTGAATACCTCAGCTGCTATAGCAAAAATAAAGGGGGAAAGGGGGTCTCCTTGACGGGGCCCTCTAGATGAAGGGAAGAAACCTTTGGGTGTGCCATTGATTAGCATCGAGAAGAAAGGGCTAGAATAGCATCTACACATCCACTTTCTCCATCGCTCACCGAAGCCCATGCGGGTCATGGTTTCATTCCGGATGACCCAATCGACATGATTGTAGGTTTTCTCCCAGTCGATCTTGAAGATAAGTCCCAGATCCTTAGCCACGTGTCTGTTGTGGATACATTCATGTGCCACCAGGACTCCATCGAGGATCTGTCTTTCTTTGGTGAAGGTGCTCTGTGACGGTGAGATCACTAAAGGAAGGACCTCTTTGAGTCTAGTTGCAAGAACTTTAGAAAGGATTTTATAAGAGGAGTTCACTAGGCTAATTGGTCTGAAGTCTTTTAGTTCTTTAGCACCTTCAATTTTGGATATAAGGGCAAGAAAGGTGGCATTCATAGCTTTATGAATTACCCCTTGGTGGAAAATTCTTCAAAGAATAGTAGAAAATCTGAGATGAAGGTTCCCCAAAATTCCTTAAAAGGTGCCAGGGGGAATCCATTGGGCCCAGGTGATTTATCTCTTCCAAGATCTGCCAAAGCTGTAATGATCTCAGGCAGTGATTAAAAAAGCGGACCGCCCGAAGCCTAAGCGGCCGCCTAGGCGGTCCAGAAGGCCTGGGCGCATCACCCAGGCCTAGGCGGCCAATATGGGCGGTAGTCCTTGGGCGGCCGCCTGGGCGGGCGCCCAACGCTCTGCCTAAGGCGGCGCCCAGGGCCTGTGCCCCGCCCTGAGGCAGAAATTTTTTTTTTTTTATTGATTTTTTTATAAAATATCAAGGGTTAGAAGGATGGTTTTAAGTTCATTTGAAACCTAAAACTTATTGGAGCCCATTTTAGAGAGAAAAAGCCTCCAAAAAACTAGTTTTTGGTGATTTCTTTAGGATCAAAGGGTTTATTAAAGTTGACAAAAATTGATCAAAACATCACCCATTGATATTAGATTTAATTTTTGATGTTTTATGAATCAATTGGGGTTTTTTTTAGAAGATTTTGAGTCCTTAGAAGCATCTTTGAGGTGAAAGTTTGAAGATTGAGCAATCAAACTAAAAGTAAGTGCCCTAAATACCTAATTTTTATTTTTTATAATATATATCATTTTTTTATTCAAATGGGCATCCTTTTTGGATTCAACTGCGCCGCCTAGGTTTTGGACACCCGCCTGGGCGCCCTAGACCCCCCAGGCCGCCTAGGACCTGCTTAGCGCTTTTTGAAACATTGATCTCGGGTTCAGAGAAAG